GGGGAGTTAAATTTGTTAGAAATGTATGGAAACAATACAGAGTATTAGATTGTAAGTTAGAGTGAGAGGGTTTGCATATTACTTACTAACAAACAATTTTCATGATACTTTTAAATATAGTTATTGTAGTACTGTCTGGTAAATTTATTATATGGACACATCTCTCTTTCCAGGATGTGGTATTCCAGTGGCTCACATCAAATGACATACAACTCGACAATATCGATGCAGAGGACCCTGAGGTATTTTTATTTTTGTCATTGGTTATTTGACATGCATTAAAGGTTATATTATGTTTTATCAGTTTTCCATAGTTTGTAGCCAGAGAGAGAAGTTTACCCCTTAAACTCCTAGAATTGATTAACAAGTAAATTCTCCTGATAATTTCCATATGCTATCTAGTAAAGTGGTAATTAGAACACTCGCACTTATCAGATGGCAGTTGTAATCTTGATTTAACACCAAATTCTCATAACTAATTCACAAGGAAAAGTGTAGTGGCTAGAGGAGAAAATTAATGATTTGTCTATTTTAGATTTCAGACTACCATTACATCCCTGACATTCCCAGAATGTCAGAGAGGCTGAGAGTTTGTCTTCAAGAAGGAGATGAGGTACAGTATATGTCAATGTGTGATAATGATGGATGATTGTCATCACAGTGTTGTCTTACATTATAACAGGCAGAGGAACATATCATTGTCTGCTTTAAGTCCTGGAGACAATGGCTACTTGTTAATAATTATGTATTTGTGTTAGGTAGCTGTAATCATATCTAAGACAATACAGTTGTCATTAGAAGTTGGTAGGTGGTAGAAACCCACTGGCTGTCAGACTGTTTTGCGCTGGCTATTTTCTGACTTGTGATCAAAGATGGAAATTAAATATTAATGAACTGACTCTAGCATGAATGTCTGGCTAAAGAAAGTTACTCATTGTCCCAGAATGCTAAGAATCACATCTCAGAGTGTTTCAAATTTAAATTTTTTTGGGGGGAGAGCATGCCCAAGGCCCCTCTAGAAGGGCATAATGCAAAGCTACACACCATGTTTGCTATGCAAGCATAATTCAATTAAGCCACCAACTCAGTTCACATTATACATCTATTACATTTTCTATTGACAATCATGTGTCACTGAAGCCAAACACTAAAAACCCACGAGCTACAGTTGATTGGGAAGTCTGATTGTCCATGCAAGGATGGAGCTAAAAAGAACTGCGTTGGTGATAGGGATGAGCGATTTTATAAGCCAAGAGAAAGTTTTTGTCAGAGACATCACATGTGGATCTGACCTCATAGTGGGTGTTCTCTATAGGGTGTGCATCAGTCTTAAATTTGTGAGTCAACCAGGGTAGATTTTATAGTTGAAAGTTTTTAAATTGGTAATCTTACAGTGTGACACTTGTCCTCTACAGAGTGTTGGATCAGATATCACAAAAATGTTTGACGAAAATCTGTTCAAACTTGACACAAGTGTAGTTCCGGCTGCCATAAGGTAAGATATTAAAAAAAACCTTAAAAGTTATCTCTGCTGCCTTTTTACTGATTATATTTTGCAAGTTTGTGTTCACTCTGGAAGTGAAGATCTAAAAGAAAGGGAGATCATGATCAGCTCACCAACAACCCTTTTGTATATTTCAATCATAACAATTGCTCTCACCTCAAAGCCTTCATTTCAAGGTTTGGACTTTGTGTGGTGGATTTTAATTAGAAAGTAACACCTGAGGAGCAAGAACAGAGGAAAGCCAATGAAACAGTACAATGCGATCACGATATTTGCCAGCGGGAGCCATTGGTTTCCTTAGCACCTTTAGTAACTTGATATTGATTAAACCGATGACAAGATAAATAAAGAATGATGATTCAAAACAAAGGGTAGTAAGGGTTTGAGACAAATATTGTGTAAACTAAAACTTCAGGAACACATTCCTCAAACAGCACAATCACAGTATTGAATAACAGTCATTGATCACTTTTGAATAAAATTGCATACTGTTAAGTTATTTAATAAAGGCTGATATTTCTGAATGTTGTTCTTATATCACAGAGCATATGAAGACCTTAGAGTGAAGCATGAACCACTTTTACTAATAACTCCACAGTTTGAGACTCCTCTTCCACCACTTCAGCCTGCGGTAAATTAATCAGTCTCCTTCAAATTGAATTTAGTTATTCTGAAAATAAAAGCTCTATAGCATGAAAAATAAGTGCTGGTCTGCAAATCTTAATAAGTTTTAGTCAGTTAAGGCATTATCTCCATTAAAAGAGTAAGATTATTATAAAAAATTAATTTAAAAAAACTACAGACATGTGCATGGCATAATGGGCATACCATGCCACAAGCCACTCAAGGATCAGCACTTTGTGAAATCTAAATGATTTCATATCACATCTCTTACAAAGTTAGGGGTATTGAAATCTTCTGATCAGTACTACAAGAACCATGCTCTTCCTGGCTATGTGCTCAGGATTAGTTTTCCTGTAATTTTTAAAAATAGTTTTAAAATGAGTGACTGTATAGAGAGTTATGTTGGATCTTTTCCCCTTGTTTTGCTCCTTGATTCTTCAAGAAAACTCAAGTCATTCTCTCAACCAACTTAATGTAAAATGGTTTATTTTTACACCCTCAGATATTCGCAGTTTTTCCACTGAGTTCTCATCAGCTCCATTTGGTATTTTACTTCACTCTGATTGAACTCTGTGAAAATTTCTTGAAGTGTTCATTCTTGTTTTAATTAGGAGAGTTATTACTTTCTCTTGAGAGATACATGAAAATTAATGAGAGAATCTAAAGTGACTCACTTGATAATTAAATTTTTTTTCTTGCAGGTGTTTCCACCAACATTTCGTGAGCTACCTGCTCCAGCATTGGATTTGTTTGATTTGGATGAGTGTTTCTCATCAGAGAAGACAAGACTGGCTCAGATAACCAACAAATGTGAGTGCACCAATATGCAAAAATATTATTGTTGGTTATTTGAGAGAAAATCTACTCCCATATTTGGTGGAGTTGCAAGGACTGCCAGGTTGTGTCTGTCCTCTCAAAGGGTAGAAAAAATATTTTAGAGTTAATTTGTCCTTTTTTTAGGTACTGAAGATGATCTTGAGTATTATGTTCGTGAGTGTGGTGATATCCTGGGAGTTTCCAGCAAGCTGCCGGCTTCCTCCAGAGATGCTAGACATATACTGGATTACATTTTCCATCAAGTTGTGGAGTTTAAAAAATTGAATCAGGTCAGTATTTGACTTTCATTGCTTGAATTTACACTTCACATAGCTACAGGAATCTAAGCTTAACTTTTTTTTTTTTTATCTAAGGCCGCCATTTAAGGAGGCAAAATCATTGTGTGATCACCAGAAATAAATTAAAGGTTGTTAGAGGAAAAAGATAGGGAAGGAAAATTGCGTGAGCTATCATATCACTGACCACTCTACTTGTCTTTGAAATAAGTGGGACTGCTGTTTTTTCATTTGTCATATGATTAGCAGTTGGGAACAATGAGGCAAATTTTTCTTTAAAGTCAGTCACTAAAAGTTTTCCTAGTCACCATATGGACTAAAACAGGTACAGAATGGAGTACTTGGCTGTCTAAGTGGACTTAAAAAGCTTGATCCCTTCTGTGACAAATTCTGGGAACAATCTAATGGTAGAAGCCTGTGCTACAGATTACATTTTTTTACCATAACTATAGTACCTTACTATGGACTTCTTTGATTCCTGTTTGGTGTAGGAACCCCCAGATGATCCTTCAAATGAGCCTGACTTTGCAGACGTCATGTGAAATAGTCACATTCAGATCTTGATTAATATAAAAGCCTTTGTGGAAAAGAGTTGTCATAAACTTATTTATTAAAGTGGTCTGTAGAGATGCCAGCCAGATTAATTGAAGGACATTCCTTTAGACAACTTTTTTTTTTGGTAGGAAATTTTGCCTCACTTAGGGAATCTTCTGGTTTTAACTATCTCCACCCTTCAGAGCATTGGTGTTTTTAGCATCTTACAGGCTTGATTAAACACCAAATTCTCTGAGTTAATAATGTAGGATAACAGGTGTAGAAGTGAAAAGGAAGGATTTTGAAGCTGATTATGTGAGTTATTAACTAAAAGGAGCTGTGCAGTGATGTAATAATTCATTTTTAGCTTTATTGTGATTGGCTTGTATTTTAGAGCCAATTTTGATTGAAATATGTTGTAAAACCATATGAAATGTAAATATGCATACAAATTGAATTAAAAAATGAATGGTACTTCGCATGAAAGTGGAAGATGTCATGTTACTGTTTTACAAACTAATAAGATCTGCAAAGCCCTAGAGATAAATAAATAAGATGTTGACATGTGTCTGGTCTGGGACGGTATGCAGATGACATCAAATGTGGTAAAACTATGGCAAATGGAGGTCTCATGCCATTTGGGGTGCCCCTAAATTGTTTTGGCTATATTTTCACGCCTTCTTTGATTTGTTACTTAATCCTTTAACTCCCAGAAGTGATGAACATGAAACTTCTGCCAATGATATCCTTAAATTATCCAGTAGACTTCTAATGAGAATATTCAAACTTATCAGCTAGAAGTTGTTATCTTCATCTAACACCAAATTCTCATAACTAATTTATAAGGAAATGTCTAGCAGCCAGAGGGGAGAATTAACAATCAGATCTTGGGAGGTAAAGGGTTTAATGGTGGATGACTATAGAGTAGGATCTTTTCTTGGGTTTGAGCCAAATAGTGAATTGAGTTATATGATGGTGGGGATTCCCTGCCAATTCTCTGCACATGGTGGGAAGTGGATATTCCACAAATCCTTTGAATTTAAACTATGTAGAACTGATAATTCGGTTCTCCTCCAAACTTTTTCTGGAAAAAGAAAAAGAAAAACAATCAGCACAAAATTATTGAAACATGCCACTTCCGACTTCTCACCTTTTGATTTTTGGGCAAGATTTCTCAAAGGACTGGTAACTAAGCCGAATGAAAATAACTTCAAAACACTGATTTTCTCGACGGTGGCGATATCGGAAGACATACAAGAGGTCACGTAAAATATTATTAAGAAATGATTCGGTGGAGAAAACCATTTTCCTCTCCGATGGTAACCACTCGAACATTTTGTATGGTATCTGTCAAAAGAGCGCGGTTTGCAATCCAGCAGGCTTGGAAGCGAAGGTGAGTCCGAGAAATTCCTATAGTACACGCTAGCAGCCATGTCGAAAAAGAATTATTTGGAATTCCTCTTACTCCTTAAGTTTGTTAGCGTCTAACGAGGGATGACTAACCTAATTGTTATTTTGTTGATTGTGCCCCTCTCTTTGGCCGATGAAACGTGTAACAGGGACGCTGATAAGTGTGAAGACAATGCTTTCAAAGTAAAACACACGAAGTTGTACTCCATAACTCCTTCTAGAAGTGAGCCTGATGTCAATATTTCTTCAGCTTTGACTCTTAACGACGGCGTAAAAATCCCCATCTTTGGATTGGGTGTCTACCAAGCAGGATCTGGCGTGGAAACTAAAAATGCCGTACGATGCGCTTTGGAAAATGGGTACAGACAAATCGACACTGCTGCTAGATACAAAAACGAGGACAGTGTTGGTGAAGCCATCAAGGAAAGCAAAATTCCACGAGAAGATATATTTGTGGTCACAAAGTTATATGACGATGATCACGGCTTCGACAAAACGCTAGCAGCGTTCAATAAGAGCTTAGGAAAATTAGGAACGGAATACGTGGACTTGTATTTGATGCATTCCCCGGTTCCTGATAATGTAATATCCTCATGGAGTGCTATGGTCAAGCTACGACAGCAAGGACTAGTTAGGTTTGTAGAAATCTTCATGTAACCGGTGTGCGATGAATGATGATGGTTTTTTTTTTGTCTCAATTTGCCAGAATTTTTGGAAGTTTCACTGTTCATACAAGCAGGGTAAGTCTTGTTTAGAAGAGAACTGAGAAGGCTTTGACTTCGAGCATGTCCACATCACCTCCTCCTCCCCCTCTGCCTGTCTTAAGGTACACTTTCGTGCATTGCCTCAGGCACACATAACATGCCATCATTCAAATAGTGACGTTAAAAAATACTATCTCAGGAATGTGATTTGCACTTCTGAAAATGCTATAGTGGTATGCTTGGGGAACTCCCATAATAAGAAGGGATCAGATTGCTTTTCAAAAATTTTGAAGGATTCCCACTTCAGCACAATGGAAGTGTTTACTATGAAGAGTTCAGACTTAGCTTAGAATGAGTCTATTGCCACTGTAAAAGAAAAAGAGATCAAGAAGTGTCTAAGTCATGCTAATTATTGGTAATAAATATTTTGAAATTTTTCTCCACAGGTCAATAGGTGTGTCTAACTTTGGTATTCACCACCTTGAAGAACTAAAGAAGCACTCAACTGTTATGCCCTCTGTCAACCAGATTGAAGTTCATCCCTTTTTACAAGAAAGTGATGTGGTCAACTATTGTAAAGAGGAAGGCATTGCCATCCAGGCTTACTCACCATTGACAAGAGGCAAGAAACTTGACCACCCAACAATTAAAGCTGTTGCTGATAAGCATGTAAAAACTCCAGCACAGATATTATTGAGATGGTGTATACAGAAAAACTATATTTGTATTCCAAAGTCTAGTCAATCATCTCGTATTGTAGAAAATGCCAGTATATTTGACTTTCAATTGTCTACTGAGGACATGAATGTTTTAGATGGGTTAGAGGAAGGATTTAGGACTGGAAGACCTAAAATACAAGAGCCCTGGAAGGGATAGCAAATAAAGAATTATGCTTCAGAAACTATATTATGTATGTAGAGGAGTCCAATATGCAAGTCTGATAAGATTGTTGCTACAAAATTAAAATGAAAGGGGGGGTAGAGAAAGGGGGGATCAAAGAGCCCAAGAGAGAGGGAGGTTGTTTAGGTTATTTGCACTCAAGCTAAGAAATTGTCAATTAAAAGTGGAAACAAAATTTGTGAAATACTTAAGTTTTAACATTGTAAAACACTTTAAAAACAGGTTTTAATTACAGGCAATAAGGCTCTAGAAATAGTAATATTATAAGATAAAACTGCATTGAATAAATTACATTAAAACAAACCAAAGCAAAGGTATTTATTTTGAACAAGATTTGGCAAAATTGTTCCTTAATTTGCTATCATGGTGTTATTTAAAGTTAATGTATTTAGTTAATATAGAAATAAAATTTTGATGTATCTTAGTTTTGATTTTTGATACTATTGTTCCTTTCTACTTTAAATTTCGCAAGTAACATACACTAGTCTGTATGTGATCTCCAGTGCTATAAAAGTATCAAAAAATCATTCTAGAAAAATGTAAAATACTCAGTCACGCATTTACAAACACTCTATCATCTAACCATCATTAATCGATACTTTTTCAAACAATAAGGGCTAAACAGTCAACAGTCATATGATTGTCTGATGAAAAATCATTAACTGTTCAAACAACAGAGTGTAGAGCTTCTTTAACCATCTTGTGAATTTACTTCAAAAATGGTATGATCTGTTTATTAAAAAACTCTTCAGTAAATTGCAGGTGATCCCCATCTGCAGTTAGAAAATGGAGTTTGTTGTCTTTGTCCATTTGCTTTAGTCCAAGCCAATCCTACAATAAGAAAGGAAACATAATTTATAGAAAATATTTCACAATAACAGTCACAGTCTGAGTAGAATTGGAAATGGTCAAATGTATTTTCTGTTGTATTTGACATTCAAAAAGTAATCAGGATGAAAAAGTTGTCTTGTTCCATTTTTGCAACCTTGATGAGACAGTTTTAATTGGTGAAAACTTGCATTCAAACAGACTTGTCTCTATTTTTCTCAAAACAATTTGACAGTTAATTGTGAATAAGAAAAATTTTGCAAATTTAAGCTTTCTTCACTTTAGACCCACCTCTTCCCCCCCACCCTTTGAAGTAGGTACTTTTCCAAACTTGGAAGATGCTAACATGACTCATATCTACCTGTAGACCCTCACAATGATTATTTTAAAAAAGAGCAGAGTTGCCCACCTCTTGGTACAATGGACTCTCTTGCAGAGTATATTTCTCCACACCCTGACCAGGCTTATAGAAACCAAACCACTAGAGAGTTAAAAAAAAGCAACATTGTCAGGACAATAAGGAAAAAGAAGATATAAATAGCTCTTTAAGAACCTGTTCTGCAATTGATTGTAAACATAACTGATGAGTAATTTGACTCAAAGAACTGTTATTTTGAACTGTTCTCTTTACTAGTTTTACTGATCTTTTCTAAGGTTGATATAAAACTTTGAAAAATATGAAACACCATCACATTCCAATTACAGAAGAAAGGTATGTAAAAATTAAAATCAGTTAGCCTGTGGGTTTCAAGACAGATCACTTCATCCCCCTTAGAATCCCTATCTTCATGGAAGTAGCTCATACCTCAGATTCCTTGGGATCAACCATGGTGTCTTTGCCAAACATGACCATCACAAAGTTCTTTAATTTCATCAGGTTCTCTTTATACTGAGGAATCTTCTCCTGTTAATTTTAATAATAAGGCCCATTTCCAAGATGAAATCAATAAAAGGTAATTTCCTCTGAAACAGCATACCATACCAAACATACAATATTCAACTGAAGTCCTTTTCACTATGGATGATACAACTCTTAAACCTTTAACTCCCATGAGTGACCAAGACAGAATTTCTCCTTACAATATCAATACAATATCAAGCAGACAAGTGATGAGAATAAAGAAAAATATCAGTCAGGAGACTATAAGTTGATCCAATACCAAATTCTCCAAACTAACATCACAAGAAATGTATGGGAGACAGTAAGGAGAATTACTGATGAGATCTTGGGAGTTAAAGGGTTTAACTCTCAGAAGTAATTAGCGTGTATTAACCTTTCTCTATAATATCCATGTATTACCCAGCAATGAGGTAAAGACAGTACTCAAACTTACCAGGTAGAGGCTGTAGTTTTGATTTTAAAAACCATGATTGAATCTATTCACCTTTTCTTGGTTTATATCAGCCAGGAACACACTCTTCTCTCTGTACTCTTCCTCGTTCAGAGGGTCATGCCAGTACTCTGCTTGAACAAGGCTAAAAAATGACACAAATAAATAAAGGGGGTACATTTTTGAAAAACTGTAGTGCTGCCTTAGTGAGAGAGTATAACAGGATACTTATGTATTTTCAACTGAGTTCATCACATAAATTGGCCACCATAAAGAGTTTCAAAGCTGATGTTTTGAGCATCAGTCCTTTGTCAAAATGCACTTCTTCCCAGCAAATCAGACACAAATAAAAAATCTTGAAGTTCTTAGTGTTCTTTCAGCTGTGAACTCTCACTGAAATCTTGATAATAATATTAATGACTTAGAGAAAATACTTACTTCTTTTGAATCCATCTGTAAAGGAATGGAGAAAAGGGAAAAAATAAGGAAATGGGCAATAATAATACAAATAAGATCTGTAACTTATCAAATATACATAATCACCTTCTTCAACACAAAATATAGAGGCTTTCATGTATTCTAGCCGGTTGCATTTTCTATGGTATGGTTCAAACCCCTTCCACATCCAGGTGGCAATAGAAAGTAATTTTTCTTATAAAACATAACTTCATTTTCAGGCAGACAGGTGATAAAAGAAACAAAAACAACAACCTAGGGATATCATTTCATTGAATAACATTTTCTCAGAGCTGAAATGTTATGAAATTTAAGGAAAAAGGAAGTGGGGAGAATTGAATTTTTGAATCAATATTAGCATCTGAGCAACTGCCCACCTACCCCTCCCCTAACCCAACATCAACCTTAACTTGTTGTCAATTGACTGTTGCTGAGTTAGGGGAGGGGTAGGTGGGCAGTTGCCCAGATACTGATATTGATCCGAAGTTTTGATGTTGACAGTGAAAGGGATAATCATTCAGTAACAATTCAGAGAAACAGTTTGAAAAAGACAAATTTAAACCTTCTACTTGAATACAAGAACATTTCTTGCAAGTTCTTTCTCTGGAGTCAGTGTTCCCAAGTGATGCTAAATAAAACTGACAGAACAAAATGAGCACTAGAACAATCAAGTATAAAGGTTAACTCACGAATTATATGCCCCATAGTTAAGTAACTTTCTGAGCACAGAGCAAATGGTGGAATTTTCCCCAGGACAATGAGGAAATCCAAAAACACCTACACACAAAGAGTGAAAGGTCAAGAAATGAATTTCACTTGTTTCTAAAATTAATGAAGAGTTAAACAACATTTGTTAAACGTGAGTTTCTCACCTTGGTGCTGTCCACCAAAGCTTATCAAATTCAGCATGGGAGGGTTAGGGCATCTCTGAGCAACAGCACGCCTTAGAAAAACAAAACAAAAAGAAACAAAAACAAGCAGAAAAGTGATGAAACTAGAGAAATTATGGGCATTATGGTACAAATTTTGATTTAATAATGTTAACATTAATCTGCCAATTTTTAAGAACAGACATGCATGTTTGATGCTGACAAAATCTTTGATTCATGTGACTGATGTAAATTTACAACTCCACCTTCTGCAACCTTTACAATAGAAAATAATTTTGTTTAAGGAATCACTTGGACAAAATTACAACCATAGACTCTAGGCAGCAAAGATATGACATTAATTAAATATCCACTGTAGGGTGCAATAAAAGAAAACAGTTTATGAGCACTTGTACTTACAAGAACTGTCCTCCTTGTGAAAACCCCAGCGCATTGTATCCATTTTTCAGCTTTGGATCATTAGCAACTTTGTCGCAAACCTGTTTGACCTGTCAGGAAAAATTCAATTTCAGGCAGTGTTGTGGTTAAATAATAAACCAAAAATTAGGTCTACCAATCCTTTTGGTTCCTTACTGCCTTCTTTCCAGTAACCCTTTAAACTGGCTCAAAAAGTTATCAGCATCTCCATTCTCCTTACATTAATCGTTCATTAAAATCATGACAATTAACAAAACAATTGCCAACCTAAGAAGCATTGATTGTTAAACAAATTCTCCTTGTCAGTACCAAAGAAAGTGTATAGAGAAGAAAGGGGAGAATATGGATACTGATGCTAGGATGTAAAGGAATAATATTATTGCTCATTATCATCATTGTTTCTCTCTCCCTCTGTTGACTAGTGCCCCTAGTCTCTTCTCCTTGAGAAAATATTTTGCACCAAATCTACGATTGGCAATTACATTCACACAGAAAAAAAGGAAGTGAGGGGAAACACAACTATAAACAGTGAAAAAACTCTAGCTAAGAAAACAGTCAATCCTACTACAATATTTTAACAAAATGCAAATCCTGATTGCACCATAAATACAAAATGAGGCAAACAGTCATTTTAAATAGAAGCTAAGTAGAACCAGTTTCTGAGTAAAACATTGTATAAAAAGTTTGTTCAAGAAATTTTGGCAATTTATGCATCATTCAATAAATGTTGCAACTGAATGAGCTGGAACTAAAAATGAACTGTAAAAATTACAAAGTACCTGGTCATTAACATTCATGAAGAAGCCATTCTCAGTGTCCTGAAACAAGAGAAACATCACTTTTAAGTGCAGTTGTTGTCACAGCCAAGTTATTGATAAAAAAGATTTCTTTGAGAAATACTGTGCAGGTCAATGATAAAGAGACTAAATATGCCTGTAAAATGCATTAAGTACACATATAAAATCACATGCATGCTGGTGTTGACAAGAGAGCACACGCGCCTATTCTTGAACCTGTTTGTGTGTATAGTATGTATCAGCAAGCTGATTGTTTCTTCTACTGTGCCATGGCCATTGCTTACTTCAATGAGTATTGTATTTTCAGTGATAAAAACATTTAGTTAAGCTGTATTGAAATGACTGTTGATTGCCTTGAGTTTCTCTCTGCTGTGTTCATTTGTTCAACACTGTACTGTGGTCCTGTTAACTTTATCTAGTTTCCATTTAAGGTTTGCATGCCAAGAAAGGTGAAAGAAAACTGATTTTTTTTTTAACATGACCTTACCTGTATGACTGAATCTCCAATCATCAACGACCGTACATAAATACCAGGAATTTTATTTTCCAGCATTGTCTTGATTGATCCCATGCTCAGGGGGTTACAGCATGAATCACCTACGTGCAAAAAAATCAGCATAAGTTGGCAAATTTACTTGTATTGTACAGTGAAGTGTCAAGTCTGGATTTTCGAAATTACTGCCTATTGTATATTGCATTGCATCTTCAATGAGATCATACAAAACTATATGAATCTATGATAGAATTCACCCCTTTTGATAAACAAGAGAACTCCATCAATGGTTTTGAAATGCTGTAAGCAGTGCTTCCTTTCACTTAAATTTCTGACAATGACTTTGAAAGGGGAGGGGGTTAGGAGGTTTAAAATATTGACCTGTAGTGAAAGATTCAGTCTCAGATTCAGATTTGTTACATGAAGGTAAATTCCCTCTATTTAAGTGTTGCATTATATTGCACACTTAAGGCCAAAAATTGATTTCCATGCGCATGCTCGAGATAGCAAATAAGAACAAAGAAAAATATTCCCCAGAAATAATTTGTTTGAAGTGTTATGTCACTGCTACACATGTCACTAAATGCAAAACACTGGCTCTTAGAGTGTGTTGAGCACATTGAATAAACCAAATCTTTAGCTATTCACGAGTGACAATTGAATATTTTCAACAACGCAACAAGCAAGAAGAACGAAATTAAATTCCTTTGACCTTCCCTGCCACGGAACGACAATGAGCATTTCGCAAAAACAAACATAATCACCTTCCTTTTACGAAGTAAAAATTAACTTCTATCCTTTTCCTTTCAATTAAAACAATCGAACAGTCGGTCGAGGCAACTGGCTATCATGCCGAAAGCGAAATTCACGTCACCACAGGCCTGCAAATTGCCACTTAAAAATATTTTTCTGCTAAGGATCATTTCATTATATTCAGCCTTGTAAACTAACCCATTCCATGCCAGATTATTGCAGGTATTGTTCCATTGCCATCAGCACTGCAGAAAGCCAAAAATGAAGCGAGAACTACGGAAAAATAGGTAGTGCTACGATCCATCTTTATCTAAGCAGGGAAATTTGCTTCGGGAAGGAAGAAGTAGAAAACTGTTGGAGACAAGTCGCGTGATTTGGTTCCATGCCCCTGTTGGGCGATCTATCCTCAGACCCTGGACACCAGCTTTCAAAGAAGTTTGGAAAAATGAATCCTGTGATCGCCTAGCATTCTCCAAAAGCGATACCTCTATTCATTTGTGTAAAAAGGCACGCAGAGTTACAGGAAAAAGAACCCTGTCGTCAAATTTACGCATAATATGCACAAACCTGCATAAAAAGATCTTTACATAGCTACTTTAACCAATAAGGAAACTCATGGACATCTTGATTTAACAAATAAAGAAGCCTTGAATGTGCTCTGTGAGCGGCTAGAACACGAAAGAAGTGTAGAGAGAAACACGAGACTTATTCGAATGTTTCTCCCCACTTCTTGAGAGCTCTAGCCGCTTCCTAAGTGCTTCACAACAGAACAGAGCACAGTCAAGGCTTCTCTGTTTGTTTTATGATGAAGAATCCGTTAAATTCCCCATGCATTACTTTCAATTTTCAAAACAAACTTAATTTCCAAAGCGAACAACAGTGTCGTTAGCAAGCTTTATACCCTCATAAAGCACGCTACAATAAGCCACTCAGAACCCTGTTAGAATGGTTCAAATAATCTGATTGGCTATACGAGAATAAAGCTGTCAAAACTGTCAAACCATCATGAATGTTCACATTTTGCAATAGTTTACAAACTTAATAGTTCGGCAGGTCGAATTTGACGCTTTTGCCTGAAGTTTTTTAGTCTCTAATACAGAACCTGAAAGTGAAATGTTCAGTGAAATCCGGGCGAATTGTGGCTCATGAAAAAACGCCAGTTTTTTCGCATGACAATTAGAAAACAAACTGTTCAAGGGTGTGTTTTATGAATGAAACTCAGCTTGATCACGGTCGCTGTGACACCGTCATAATTAGTATGAATTTTTAACAGTTATGCCAGTTTGTCTATATTTATCATCATTCCTGTTCTGTTGTTTTGTTTTTGAACACGAAACTATATATACTACACAAGTGTTCGCTGTGTTTGATTATTATTATCGTACGTAAGCTTGCAATCAGTAACTGAAGAGTGAAAACCTTCAAAACTCGGACTGTCCATTTCGTTTTCTCTTTGAGGATTTTCGTCTCAGCTCACGTTATAATAACGTCAATTACGGCGCCTAGCACGTTTACACACCTTTGTTTGGTTCTTCTGTTGCTATTTACCGACTCGCCCGTTCCGAAATTTCACTTTCAATGAAAGAAAAAAAAACTAGAGAAAAGTCCTAGAAAAGGTCGGACATAGTTCAATTTAGCATATGGAATAACAGCTTTAGTTAAGCTCCATGTTCTATACTCTCATAGAGCACCCTCTTTCAACCAATGACGGCGCGCGTTATATCCGAACTTTATTATAAAGAAAATGACTTTGACTTTTTAATTATGGTTTCTAAATCAAGCTTGTGGCTTATATAGTTTTCACGCACAGATCACGCATGTTATTATGAATTCATAGTAAAGAGCACGTGAGCACTATCATTTCAATAACCTCTTCTCACTCGTGATTGGTCAATTGAATTAACACACCCCCTGCACTCCCTCTTAACCGCCCCAAGGCACAACAAACGCACATAATTCATGAGTCCACGGAAAGCAGTCACGTAACCACCGTAGTTCAACGTTTAAGGTGTACCATATCATATCGTTTTGACCTTTTGATTTTGGACAGAAATGTTTGCGAAGAACTTGAGATTGGGCCACTTTGTTTGTATGACCGAGAATGTTATTGGAAAGACGCGTACGTTTTACTCAGCGGCGAAGAAAGATTTCCCGCGAATTTTGATCACTGGTACGTCATTCACGATGTGTTAGTCTTCAGTTAATATTAACTTCTGCCCCTTAGTTGCCCTGTATTTAGGATAATTTTCATCATAAGTTTTGTTCATCCAACATTAAAGAACTGTTTTGAAGCGTTTAAAGCAAAGAAACGTCAGAGATACACCTGGAAATGACGAGAAACGTGGGTTTTATTAATGCATTCGTCCTACGACGAACACATTTTTGTGAAGACGTACTTTGATGCTATCGCCTCACGGGTCAATACTTTGAAATTGAAGATGGACACAAATTTATATCAGTCCTTGTTTCTTGATAACAAATTCTTTATAATCAAATAATTATTTTTGTTCATGCAGGTAGTTTGGGACAACTTGGACGTGGTCTTGCTAAAATCTTAAGGTAAGGAAAAACCGAAAAAGTGCCTGTCTTCGGTTCCAACTTATAAGTCAACTTATAGTTACATTTTTTTATGCCACGCGGTTGCAACGTGATACAGTTTATTTACGGTTCGATATTCCATTCGCTCCATATATCTTCCCTTTGACTTACTTTACTTTATTTCTACTAGCAAGTGCATCGTCAAAGTGACGTGTTAACTAACGTGGTTAGACACGGAACAATAACTCGCTGAAGTATGCAAGAAATGTCGAGGGATTTATATCGACGAGGTTAACAAATATTCATTCAAAATTTTAATTGTTGGTCACTTGTTGTGAACAACAACAAGCTAGATCAATTGGACTGAGCTAGCTTTATATCGCATGAGATCGGTTTGATTTGAACCAAGGTACTAATTCCCCTTTGGCACAGCTGAGTCAATACCGTAGCCACTGCTCAATATCTTTACACAATGTGAATGATTTTATTAGAGTTTCTCTTCCAAGAGGAGTTCGACATTTATCAGCCCTCCTTTTTTTCAATTGTAATAAGTAATGAAAAACTTTATTTAGAAAAAGGTAAGAATATATATTGTTTACAGAGTAGTACCTGTAGAAATTGTTATTCAAGTTATTCAGACGTCTACATAAAACAACAAGGTTCTTAGTCTGGCAGACATAAACAATTGAAGTCGGTTCATTTATCGGGATTAAGCCAAAGGATACTTTTGATAACAAGGAGGAAAAATAATTTCTCATCTGTTACCAGTTATACTTTTTCATCCGACAGAAATTTTTGAATGAATTATTTTTACACTGATTAAATGTACTAAGTGGTTGTAACTTATTAGCTAATTTTGTCTGTGATTATTTCCCCTATTGCTTCAGAGATAAGTATGGAAGGGATAATGTCATCATGTCAGACATTGCAAAAGCATCGTGGGATGTTTTGGAGCGTGGTAAGTTTGACAATTGCTCTTTCTCCTGTTGTCAATTAATTCACATACATTGTGTTGAACGGTCTTCCCTGAATTTTTCATTAATTGTTTTTGGTTGAACTTGAATATCTTAACCCTATCATCCTACACATCAATTTGCATATTCTCCATTCCGTTCTCTGTACACTTTCTAAGTTGCTGACATGGAGAACTTGTTTAACAATCAAGAGCTTCATTAGTTGGTGATCATTTCCTTTACTGAATGTTTTATTTTTTCAGTAAGAATTATGAATTAATACATTGATGTATTCAAGATCAAAGAGGGCACTGTGAATATCTTCTACCAAATGCAGTGACAAGAAAATTACAAATTTGGGCCTAAAGTACACTTTCTCTTTGTTCAGTAGCTCTGCCTCAGTTTAGTAGCTTTTATATATACATTATATGATAATTTTTTTTATGCCATGCTGACAGGTCCATACATTTATGCTGACATCCTGGACTTAAAAAACCTTCAGTCCATTGTCGTCAATGAACGCATTGATTGGCTGGTTCATTTCAGTGCTATTCTTAGTGCTGTGGGTGAACAGAATGTGTCGCAAGCACTACAAGTAAATGTTGAAGGTGTTCACAATATCTTTGAACTGTGCCGCAGAAATAACTTGAGGCTGTTCTGCCCAAGCACAATCGGAGCATTTGGTCCTGAAACTCCGTCAAACCCCACCCCTGATGTGACAGTTCAGAGGCCAAAGACCATCTATGGGGTCTCCAAAGTTCATATGGAACTTCTTGGAGAGGTACTCATGAAGTTTTAAATCTTTTCTACTGATCAGTCAAAAATTTTGTTCTTGTTTTTTGTTTGTTTTATCAGTTACCTGCGATAATTCTTGTCATCATTGTTATTTTTCACATCATTCAGTTACCATTTTTTTTCTTTGTGCTCTCTTTAACAGTACTACCATCACAAGTTTGGTTTGGATTTCCGCTCAGCCAGATTTCCAGGGGTCATCTCAGCTGAGACTGCCCCAGGGGGTGGTACTACAGACTATGCTGTCCACATTTTCCATGAGGCCTTAAGAACTGGCAAATACAAATGTTATCTGCGCCCTGATACAAGAATGCCAATGATATATCTCCCAGATTGCTTACGAGCAACTGTTGAGTTGTTAGAGGCACCCTCAGATAAGTTAAATTTGCGCACATATAATATCAGTGCCATAAGCTTCACACCTGAAGAGCTGGCTGGTGCAATACGAAAATTCATTCCAACTTTGAAAATGGAATATGAACCTGATGAAAGACAGGCTATAGGTAGGTTTAACCCTCCAACTCCAAGACCAAATTTGTAGTTCTCCTTACTGTCAACCATACAACTCTTATAATGTTAGTTAAGAGAATTAAGTATTAGATTGACTAATTATCCCCAAATTGATAGTTTTCTTGTCTGATTGATATATTGACTGTCATCACTTGTCTGGTTGATATTGTATCAACATTGTAAGGAGAAATTCTGTCTTGGTCACTTAAAGGAGTTAAAGGTTTAAAGACTTTGCATGAGGGGAGGTGGTTGGGTGTAAGTGGAGAAGAAATTAATCCTTTAAACCTCAGGAGTGACCAGCATCTAATTTCTCCCCACAGAAATTCTGCTGAATCATTCAGTAAAATCATGAGAATAGAGACAATGATCACCAACCCATGGAACTTTGATCGATAAATGAATTCTCCATGTCAGTATCAATGGAAATGTGTAGAGAAGAGTATGGAGAATGTAGATACTGACTTTAAAAACAATTATCCCGAATAATCAATAGAAAGATTTTTAAAATGGAACTTTGTTCTTTTGCAGCTGATAGTTGGCCTCAGGTTCTAGAAGACAGTAATGCAAGGAAGGATTGGAACTGGCAGCATGTGTATGATCTTCCAGCAATGACATCAGCTATGCTGGAAGCATTAGCACCCAAGGGAAAAGTTAGCGCCTCCTCCATGCTTTAAATTCCACATTCTTTACCTTCACTACCATACTGGTCAGCCCTTAAACACCCACAAGTAGTGTTCTCTCTACCTATTTGCTAGATAATGTATTGATATTACAGGGAGAAGATACATGTTAAAAAAAAAGGCACACTATAAATAGGTTGACTCTGCCCCTTGGTTTCAGCTCAAATGCAAATTATGCTGTGGTGATGTTATGCCATGGCAAAGCAGATCATTTGAATATCAAATTCACTGTAACAAATAAACATTGATTGGATGAAGGAGATGTAAATCTCAACAAATTAATTCTGTCTGCTGTTCACTCCCTTTAGATTGGCTGCAGCTCAAGCTGTTTTGAATATAGAGGTCTGCATGCCATGACAGTTGATTGACAAATGAATCAGAGGTACCTAAGGCACCTCTCCTTTCATAACACGCTTTCATGTGTAAGGGTTAGGCATGCAGCTGGCCCAAATATTTTTTTTAAATGTACAAATAATAACAAGTTATAATTAATACATTTTACCATTGCTGTATATGTCAATAGAATATTTATCAGTAAACAGACCCATTTCAGGTCCATGCAAATGAAGCCAAACCATTGGAAAAAATAGTAGAAAGTGATTTTTTGTTTCTTCGATGTTTACTCAGGTAAGTTTCATTTGCCCCTCAGGTGGGCTACATTTGCATAGACGTGAAGTGGTTCCATAAAACACTGCAGTTTGGAGATATTTTTCAAAACCACATTGTTAAGAGTGATTTTTAGGGTATGATATTTACAGGGTACAGAGTGCAAGTGTAAGTTATTATTATCTTAGATTGTGGTTCTCTAGTAGAGAGAGTGTCATGTTTTACTCAAAGTTTCTTACATTGCAGTTATTTATGTGTACATGTACCCACCCTCAATAAAAGAACACTAAGGGAGCAATGTCTGATTCTTTGATACCTCCAATTTCACGTGTGGCTTAATGGGGAATGGACTGAATTTTAGCAGTGAACATTCCATAAGGTGGCTCTTCTTGTCCACTTTCTCCAGGTTGAAATAGAATTTGGAATGTTGGTTTCTGTGGGGGGAAGAAAACTGAAGAACTTAGAGGAAAACCCTCAGAACAAGGACAAGAACCAACAGCAAACTCAACCCACATGATACCGGGTTTGAGAATAACTCAGCCACAGCAATGGGAGTCAGGCACTCTTTCCTCTGTACCATCTCTGCTCCCTCATGACATTGTATAAATTTAGCATGTTAGGTTTGCTAATGATCAATAGAGTACTCAACTACTAAGACCAAGCCCTCCCCTCCCCTACCAAAATGGAGACTGTATACTCCATACCACTGAATAGCAGTGTAAAAAATACAGTATGAGAAAGTAATACAGAGAGTACTTAGAAGGGTTAGGAAGGGAGGTATGGAGTTGGGGGGGGGGGGGGATGGAAAGAAAAAAGCTATCTGCTAGAGTTCTTGAAATGTAAAACAAACTGATGACAACTTCATGCCCACACAGATTCTTGAAAAAAAAAAAAAGGTAAATCACAAGGGTTGATGAGACAATAAAATATCAAAAGGCAGTAAATATCAAGTGTCACTGATTTATTGCACTCATTCTCAACATGCAGACAACAAAGTCTACCATCCAAAGTTAGTCTTACAGTATATTTAAAACCTCTTAGTGTGAACTAAACCAAGATAATTTCCATTACGGCCAGTTTCGGCCAGCTAGGATAAAAAAAAATTAGAGTCTTGCATATATTTACCAGATCATTAAATATCACATGGGATTGTTTCTAATTAATGCCTTAAAGTGCTTCAAGACCAGACAAGGTGTTTTTGGTTAAAAATTTAGACTGAGGTTTACCTGCTCAAAGAGAGATGAAATTTCACCAGCAGGGAAGCTTGATAAACACCAAACATCATGTATCATAATCACAGTTACAGTGATACTAAGTAAACCACAAACACTTTGATTTGACTTGAATAAGTCAATTGTATCCTGAACAATCACATGACCATAAAGTTCAGGACACACAAGCAGACCTCAAAACTTTTCCTAAATACACTTGCAGTTTGTCATTCGGGTTTTTGTTGTCTGATTTGCTTTTTCTTGGAACTAAAAAAAATTTCACAAATTTATCTGGTGATCATGGTTTTCTAAGCTGTGAAACAGAATACAGATTGGAAAGACTAAAGAAACCTATTAAAGAATTTAGACCTGATTTAAAAAAATTACTTTCAATACTTGCATTTAACCCTTTAACTTCCATAACTGTTTTACATGTAACCTCTTCCTGCAATATCAATACATTATCCGGTGAAACAGTATCAAGAATACACAAATTTATCTGATTCAAGTTTTTAACTTGATTTAACACCAAATTCTCGTAAATAATTTACAAAGAAATGTGAAGCAGCTAGAGGGGAGAATGCACAATCAGATCTCTGTTCCACAGTTTTATCCATTTTCAAATTGAGCATCACATGACTGGACACAATTATAAATTAAAATTACTGTAAGAAGTTACAATTAATAATACTAAAAGTCGGCCTGCCGACTAAATAACACTATTTAACTCAATAAATTAATGCAAACTGTGACCACAATCTATGTGGTTGACAATAAACTTTCAATAATGTGAACTGTTCAGTTGGCAAAGTAATTGACCAAACTGAGAAAATATTATTTTGCAGACAGGAATAGAACATCTCATAAAGCTATTAAGTTTTAAAAGACTACATATTTCCTGGAAAATGTAAAAGATAGTTAAGCACACAATTAAAGAAAACTGTTTTTCATCTATCTTTCGCTGAAGAGTTGTTAGTAATGATCATTTCAAAGAAGTGAAAATCTCTGAGCTAGGCTCCAAGTTCCTGGTTGATCAATCAATGTTATTTAGAAACAACCAAGTCACCTGTAATTTTGTGCCAACCACATAAAGAAAATTGAAGCATGAAAACTTTAGTTTTACTTATCAGTAGCTTAATTACCAAGGTGCATGTTTGATTGAGTATGTCTGATTTGTGACACATGGCAATAACTAAACCCAACCAACCAAATTTTGTGGCATGTGCAGGTTTTTGGTCAAAGAAACTAGACTAAATAATCTTCCTTCAGTGTAATAACTTTATAAATAAACAGTGATTGATAAAATTTGTGATCAAAGTATTGGTAATTCATCACAAGGCACACCCTTGCTCTTTTCACAGAGAGTCATCTTGACAACAGTCCTTTTTCTGGAGGTGGGCAAAATTCCCTCCTTTCAGGTGTCCAATTTTTAGTTCTGGACCCTTAAAAAAGGTGTCCAGAAATGGGATGCCAAAAGGGGCCTAGATTCTATACCAGCACTCCTTGATGTCAAAGTGCTCTCCTGATATTTACACTGTACAAATGATGAACTTAGTTTAAAAAGTAAACGAAGTCTTGCCTTTAATCAGCATCAATAACTTTTTTCCTAAAATATCATTGACAGTGAGCCAGCCAATAATAATAATTATGATAATCTTAAGTTCAAAATATATTAATAATTATTATTAATAATTATTTGTTATAGCTAATATTTCATACCATAACTTTTTCGCACTGCTATCTTTGGATGTAACTCATTTTGTCCTTTGCTCTTATGAAACCTTCATAATACTACACTGCCTCCAACATCCAGATAGCAGAATTGTCGTACACCCAAACTTTAAAGTTTTGTACAGAAAGGTCAAATATCAGTACTCAGATAACTGATATCACATGTATGGAGTAATTAGTCTGAGAAACTTTTTTAGTCAATATTTTTTTTAAATATATTTTTCTTTCAATGGCTGACTTTTCTACCTCCTTTGCCATTAAGCATGAATTGCTGAATGCCTTAAAAGGTCATCTGGTCTTTTAAATTTATTACCATCATCCTCACACCTATGACGTGATGACACATCGGAGTGCAGGCGGACATGATCTTGCAGATGCTCAGCAATGCAAAATTCCTTATCACAAACAAAACACTTGTAAGGCCGCTTTCCGTTGTGAATGTTCATGTGATCTTGAAATGCTGCTTCTGAGAGGAACTTTGTGGAACAGATCTTGCAATCAAAAGGTACCACTGTTCCATTCTGCTCACGAGAGTGTGCTTCAATGTGTATCTTGTAGCTTTCTGCTTTCGTAAATGTTTTAAAGCAGTAGTTACATCGGTGAAAGGATCTGCTTGCTTTTACAGGTTGCACTGTTCATATAAAGAAAAGAAAGTTCTTGTCAGTAAAACAAACTTAACTCTTTATGTATTAACATCAGTATGCATATTCTCCATACTGTTCTCTACACATTTCCTGAGGTGCTAACAAAAAGAATTTAATTACCAATCAAGAGCTTCTTTAGTTGTGATCATTTCCTTTATTCTCCTGACCTTATTAAGAGAAATTAGATGCTGTTCACTCTTAAGAGTCAAAGGGTTAAAAGCCACCAACAAAGTTCAAACTGCACTATGTCAGCAGCATATGGTTAGAAGTAAAATGAAAACTTACCATTATGCATGGCTCTGTGTGCTCTTAAGGCATTAATGTGCAAGAAGTTTTTCCCACAATGTCCACAAGGCATGTTCCCCACTTTGTGTCCCAGCTTATGTTTGCGAAGTGCATCAGCTCTACGGAACTCCATGTTGCACTCTTCACACTTAAACTGATTTGCTCCTGTGTGAAGGTTGATGTGTTTCTTTAAGTCACTGGACTGTTTGAAGGCTTTTTCACAGATGTGACACTTGAAAGGTCTCTCACCTTTAATAAAATAACAGCATATATATTTTAGAACGTTCTAGGCTTTGCTGAAGAAGGGCATGATTTTACTTGGCAACTCGTGATTAAGTGAACACACTGAAGTTCGTAATTAGTGAAAAGTATTTTACAACTACAAAAGATGACAGACAAACCTGTGTGTATTCTAGTATGATCCCGCAGATGACTGCGTGTCCGAAACATCTTGCCACAAACTTCACAGCGGAATTTAAAGCGCTTGTTTCCCATGTGGATGACTGAATGCTGCTTAAGTAGGCTAGAGCGGGAGAACGTCTTCTTGCAGACTTGACAGTGGTGAATAGCGCTCTCTGGAGAGGATCTCTGGTCTATGAAGACCAAAAAAGAAGAAAGATATAAGAAAGTTTGCTCCAAAAGAGCCTGAATGCCTAACACAACTAACTTTGTTCGCAGTGACTTAAAAAGTTGCATTTCTTCAAACCTTAAAAGGCTGGATATCCCAAACTTGAGACCAAATCCTAAGGGTACAGTGTCTTGCCTTACAAAAAAAAACACCACAATCACCCCAGATTTGATCCCAAACATGCAAACCTGGACCTAAAGCTTACATTAAATTAAATACATGTGAAATACACTCTGTCGAGTCAGTAACTCTCACAAGTGGCTAATTCTGGTAAAAAAATTACACAAAACTCTGCTCACCTAAGGGCTCAGAAGATAAAGACTGTTGTTCAGAATTTGCCAACACTTTCCCAGGTTGAAGAACATCGCCAGAGTCTGACGTATCAGATGTCTCAGAATCATTTCCACCAACAGGTGATTTTGTCTCCCTTCTTGTGTCTCCTTCCATGTCCTTCACCTTGATATGTTCTCTTGCTAAGTACTTCAACCTCTCAACTGATCTCTCTTGCACTGCTGGTGAAGTAGAATTGTAGATATCTGCTGATGGCTGCACATCTTTGTGGGAGAAGAAATTATGTTGGCCATTTTCTGGCATATGCTTTGGAGGGGGTAACTGCCCACTTTGTTCTCTATGCATTTTCAACCTTGTGGCTTCCTTCAAAGCCCAAGAGTAATCTATGGCATGGCCATTCATCTCTTTGTTCCACATCTGTAGTGCCAGAGCACTTTCAGTGGTAAGTGGTATGTATGGAATTCCTTCCCTCGGAATCCTGGAAAAATATTTCATACTGTTCATGAAGTTGTAGTTCCTTTGCTGCTCTTCATTACTCTGTAGATGATCATTTATTTTACTTTTCAAAGCTTTTGATGTCTCTTGTGAATTATCTTTGATCAAATTTTCTTCATTTCTTCCATCATTTGAGGATGTTTGTGCACTAGAGTGATACTGAATGACGGACACCCGATGACAAGCCACATTGTTTGTTCTCTCTGGAGACTTTCTCACTGCACTGTCATCCTGTGGAAGTTCCTCTCTCTTTGAGATGTTTTCACTAAAATTGCTGTGATCCCTTCTCTGGCTTTGTGAATCAAACTTTTCAGGGGAACGCAAAATATGCTGGGAAGCACTGTCATTAACAAAGTGGTTGCCATTGACCAAATGGCTTGTTTGCACTTTCAGTGAAGAAAAGCTAGCTGCATGTCTATACATTTCTGCATCAGATAAAGATAAATTTTTATTCCCTTGATAACTGGAATATTGAAAAGGCAGTCGAAGATAATCCTTTTCCTGCTGGAGCTTAGGCTGTACATTACGGTTATACATCATGTGCAAACTTGGAGGCACTTCAAACTTTGCACCCTCATGAGCCATTTCAGGTGGAACGACATGTGCCTGCTCCATGTGACTTGTGCTTGACAGTGACATGTTTGCAACTTCTTGACGGATCAAACTAGGACTTACTGCAGCTGGAGGTTGTGGTCCAACAGATAAGCTTTGGCTTGGTGGTGACAACTGCTTGAGACTTGCCTCATCCCCTGAATCTGACATTGTCTCTGATCCACTACCTGGGGTACTGCTCGGCAAAGGCCTTAGCTGCATTGTCTTGTGCAGTTCAAGTAACTGGTTGGCTGCATCCAATTTAAGGTTTTTTTCAATTGATTCCCTGTCTTGTTGGTTCATGTTATCTCCAGATTCAGACCTCTCAGACATGACAGCTACTTGACTCATTGCCTTCCTGTTAGATGGAATTTTTTGCTCTGGCTCTCCTTGGTCTAATAATACAGAGGGATGGAGTTCTTTATGACGTTCAAATGCTTCCTCAGAGGTAAACAAGGCACTGCAAACAACACACTTGAAGAACTTGTGCACAGAATTGATGTGGCCTCGACAGTGGTGTGAACGGGTAAAGGCTGATGGGCAGATAGGACACTTGTATGGTTTATCCAAGGTATGGGTACGCCTATGCTTCTTCAAGTCACTTGACTGCTTGAACCCCTTGTGGCAAATATCACAAATATATGGACGCTCCCCTATAAAATAAAAAACATATATATAAAATAGCTGGAAGTCATGTTCCTTCCTGCAGTATAAGTCATGAAGTCAGGTGAGAAATCAATACTAATATTCACGGTCTTGTACTTCAGTATATAGACTAAATGGAGATATTTGCCATGCACATCAGCCATTCTTCACACTCTACCATCTCTAGATTCAAGGATTCATGTAATTTACAGCAGCAAGATAATTGAAAGTGAAACACAACACCATAGCATGTTGTAGAACCCAACGAGTTGCTATCGCTCTAAACAAGAGTTAACATGTTTACGAGTGTGAGTAGAAGCTTGAAGCAGAAGCAACATGGCTCATCATTAAAGAGGTGACATAAGGTAACGAAACTCAGTAGACTGCTGATATGATTCATTACCATTGCCCACTCTCACTCTGACTAAAAAGTACTTCATGCAAATAACAAAGGCATGTGCAGTGTAAGTATATACATAGCCGTGCTTTCAATAGAACTCATTCAAAATAAGATTTTGTAGGGTTCATCCATTTCAAGATAGTCCACTTTAGTAGTCTATCAGGGTAGTCCATGGACTGGGGGTCAGTGTTTTGTCCATCATCTTGCTATAGATCACAACACAATGACCCAGTCAAGTCTTAAACCTGAACATTTTGACTCACAAGTCCCACTAACCATCTATTTATCCAATTAACTTACCTGTATGCACCCTAACATGGTCTTTCAGATGGGAAGACACCCTGAACTGCTTGCCGCAAGTGCTACATTTGTAAGGCTTCTCTCCAGAGTGCAACCTTAAATGGATGTTACGGCTGCTTGGATGGCTAAACAGCTTACCACAAACATGACACTTGTAGTATTTCTGATCACCATGGACATCTCGGCAATGCTGCCGTAACATGGCCAGACCCATGTACTGTGAATTGCACCGTTCACACTTGTACATGCGAAGTCGTTTTGACCCACCATTGGCCTCTTGAGGTGAGTCATCTACACCACCAGCTGTGTTGGAAGGTGACTCTAGCATAAGAATAGGAAAATATTTTAGCAAATCAAAGATTTTTTAACTAGTTGTGAGATTTAGAAGAAAACTTATCACCTGACCATAAGACTCACCACCATTGTAATAGAGTCTAAAGTTCACTGCTTGCTGAGTAAGTCCTTATGGGTAAAGAATTGGTAAGATACAACTTATCCCTATAAATCCTAAGAGTAACCAGCATCTAATTTCTCTGTACAATGATACTGTTGAATCATTCATTAAGATCATTAAAATAGAGGAAATGATTGCTGTACAATTAAATATGTATGCAGATGATGATCAATTTTACACTGCAGATACGGATCCAGTATCTTTGAAAGGCGTATCTTGCGTGAGGTAAGCTCAACAAATGCCTAGTATGAGATCAATGGAATGATAGCAAATCCTACCAAACACCAAGGGATGATACTAGGAAAAACTGATCATCAGTTTAATTTCTCAGTAAATGACTCAGAGGAACTTTTTGGCGTTACAATTGACAAAGATCTTATGTTTAAGCAACATGTGTCCTCTATGTGTAAAAAGGTAAACAATCAGTTTAGCGTTATGACAAGGTTCGGCACACTGATGTCTACTGAAACCATGCTACATCTTTATAAGGCATTTATACTTACTCACTTTTATTATTGTTCTATGGTGTGGCATTTCTCTAGTAAACAAGATTCTGATAAATTGGATCTTTTAAACAAACGTATTCTTCGATTTATTTTCAAGGATTTTAACTCGGATTTTAACTCTGATTTTAACTAATTTACTTAAAAGGGCAGGTACTGTAAACCTTAAGGACAAGCATTTACAAAACATGATTCTTACTATTTTTAAATGTCTACATTTTTCTGATTATCGAAGATATTTAAAAGATATGTTTCACTTGCCCTCTAACACCTATTTTATAAGAGGACATAATATACTTTGTTTGCCTAAACCATTGACCACTTCTTATGGTTTCAATTCCTTTAGTTACTCAGCAGCAATATCTTGGAATTCTCCTCCTAACCATCATTGCACTATTTCTGATTTTACTTCTTTTCGACGACTGTTATCTACTGGGTGCAATAATTTACTTAAAAGGGCAGGAACTGCAAACCTTTCTACATCAAGATGATTTGTTAGTTAGTTGTCTAGGTAGTTAGTTATCCTATTTGTTATAGAATTAATCTTTTTATTATAATTATTTATTAATGTAGTTTGCACGAAGATATTAGCACCTGAGTGCTACACTGTAAATTCGAGGGTAAATAAAGTTTATTGATCGATTGATTGATTGATTGCTACCCAAAGAAGCCTTTATTGTTAAGGTTACTTCCAACCTTCAGAGCCCAAAAAAAAATCAACTTTTCTTTTATTTAACTAAAATGATTTCAAACATTCAACCAAACATTTCCATAGAAAAAAATTTCTGAAATCTTTAAAGGCACCCGAGTTATTTTGAAAAACGTATTTTCAAATAAAAGTTAATCAGGAAGGTGTCATAATCTCTGACCTTGGTGAATCCTCAAGGGAAATTTTTGCGGCAACCACTCATGCTGTGGTTATTTCCATATTTTCTTGCACTGCACACTTTACAAAATTCACACATGGAAGCTCTTTGCTTATGGAAAAATCTACGCTCTTGGAAAAATCAAAAGCAGAAGAAAGTCCTTAGTAAAAAAAAAAAAGGAAAAAAAAACAAAACAAAACAAAACAGGCCCAAATAAGACAGAATGAGTACCATTCTATCAAGAAACAAAAAAATTCCTTACAAAAGCAACTGGTACTAGTGGAGCTCCATGCTGGCGTCCAGATTTCGAACAAAGAACTCACCATCAAACCAAGATTTGCCATGCGTAATATTAAAAACAACGTTTCCCTCTCTTAATGTAAGCCTTGACATAAAAACATTAATGATCGCCTTGAATTGTAAATTTTGAAAGCTGTCTGTCAATTCATTGTCTTGCTCCTCAACGCATTTTCCCCTTTTTCCACCAGTTTTTCCTTTCCTTTTGGCAACTTTGCTTACTATTGTGTTGTACTCCTCAACACTCTACTAAGTGATCACGATAAAAAGAAATATGTTTGCAATGGGTTACTTTTTACGGGAAATCTTGATCCATCATCACTGACGTCAGAAAGTCCTGTTGTCCCATTGGTTTGTGGTTTCTGGAGGCAAGAAAATCTCCTGGCATCGTGCGAGTTGTTTACAAATCTTTACGAGCTTAACTCATGCATTTGATTTTGGGAGGAATACAACCCCTTTGAGTAAATTTATAGAGTATATAGATTCTACCCATTATTGTCATATTTCGCCAAAACATTCCAAGAAAAATGACAAAGAAAAGTGTCGAGAAATTTCGATATTTGAAATATGTGTCCTGTGACGTCCATTTACGCAACATGCTTCACATATTCTGAGCTATTCTAACTTAAGATGCCGATATCTAGACAACCAATCAGAATAACGAAAAAGCCTAACAGGCTTTTGTTGATTGATGCCTTGTGAATAAGACTGAGCAGCCATTCTGCTTATGCTGTGGCATCTGATACCCAATAAATTCAATAGAAGAACCTTTGGTCATTTGACGCCTTACATGTACCAGCTCCTGACACTTCCATAAAAAAAAAGTTGCCTGAATTATATTGTTATCTTAAACCGCAGTTATTAAGCTTTCTTCTTATGTATAGTTCGTTAGGATTTTAGTGAAACTAGTGTGCATACAGATTTTTTTCCCAAGACACCCGTGAAGGCAGGAAGTAACCTTTAATTATTTCACTGTGACAATAACAAAAGAAATAGAGAAGGGCATGAAAAATATGGATACTTATGTTAGAGTGCGTGGGATAAACACACCTTGTGAAAGCATGCCTGTATATACCATACCTTGTTCAGCTATTTCTTGAGGACTCTGGGCCTCTTCAACACCAATAACATCTCCATCTGCCATTTCATTATCCTTGGCCACATTTCTAGCTTCATCCTCATTCACAACTTTACCCTCTTCATGACTCTCTTCATTCCCACCTTTTGAGATCTGCCTGTTTATTTTTACTGGCATGCCATGATCATCATTCTCTGTTATTTGATCCCCTTCAATCTCAATCTCTGCATGGACTCTTTGAAGACTTAATTTTCTAGATTAACACAAAACAGTACATTGATTGATAAAGCAACTCTGGTTGACAATTACCTCCACCACAAAAGTAGCAACTATTCAGTAGGTCACGTCCAAATACAAAACGAGGAAGAATTGAAAGAAACACTTCAGACAAAACATTCAACTTTGATTGCATGTCCATAGCACTTGCTGATTGATGCAGTCTTCATTGTTGTCTGTTTAACATATTTACAAATGTACATGTGAATGTTCATGTTTTTTTTCGACAAACCACTAAACCCCTCGGCACTCACAACAAAGCCACAGAATGTGACTGTCTCAACTGAAGTCTCTTACTTAGTGCGTGTGGTCAGCTATTATATTTTTCTGATTTAACAGTTCAAACTTTCCAGAATTACTGAGACTAAATTTTTTTTTTTACTTAATTATTCATAAGCAGTGTACGTGACTGTTCAAAATGACCACTAAGCTGTAGAAAATGGGGCAAAGGGAGATCAGTACCACAAGACTAAGAAGAAAATGACATGTAGATTGCCCTTTGGGAATTAGATTTTAAAGTTGCTTTTTTCCCTGCTGTTTTCCTTTATGGAAAGATAAATGGGAAGAGTTGATTGTCTCGCAAGGAAATCTGTATACACAACTATTGCGAAATTACGTGAACCAGACAGAATAGAACATCCTGTAGTGCAATGGCATCATCTAAATGTCAATGATGGTGCATCTTTAAATCCAATAATTGCAAATATTTTATAAACTTTATTGCCTTGTATGAAGACCAACTAGCAACATAATGTGCTAGTGGAAGAAACTGTCATGTAGCCCAGAAGGCTATCAACACCTTTATAAATTATTATAGAGACCTTTCCTTACACAAGAGCTATGTTGCGCAACATTAATAATTCAAAATTTATTCATATCTAGACACCTAGCACATCTTCACACTTCTATAGTCATCAAGGTTTTCATCAGAACATACCTTTGTATCATATCTGGAATGATATTTCTTAGCAGCAAAGTCCTTCTTGATTTTAACAATGATTCACAACATCACAGTTGGACTGAAAAAAAAAATTTATTTACAACAAGAACTTTCAAAAAACTTTATCATTATAGAAGAACACAAATCTTTAATTTCAGGCGTATACTTAGCTTTTGGCAAATACTAACTGTTTCCAGAATTAATATACATCAAACAACCCAAAATCATCTATCACTGTACCATTGCATTCAAGAAATGTAACTTCAAAGGTGTCTATTAAATGCATCTTGTTCTAATTAAATCCAAATGTACAGACATTGATTTATTTTGTTATCCCAGATTGAAAAACTTGATAACCTCACTTGAATCACTGGTTAAATCCAAGATTATATTCCACTGAATTTATACCTCAAAGCCAACCCAAATGTACATGGTTGTTTTGCTGAGTCAAATGTTGAATCAAATCTCCATGAACTCACCCAAATGCCAAGAATTTGCAAAAATATTGTGCACACTCTAACATAATGCCATCTACGCATTTGTATTTGCTAACGTAATAATCAGCTTTTATAATGAGCCGGTCTTCAGCTTTGTCTGTGGCTATACCAGCTATGTAACTTGATTCAAATGATCCAAATTCCTTAAAGGGGTTAATACCACATTTTGCAACATGTTAATTGGCTGAATGATGTTCGCCTCATGTGAAGTACAACGTTTGACCTTAGTCTTAGAAACATGTCAGATAAAGCAAGTCATTAAATTAAAATACCACATCTTTGCTATAATAACCTTATGCTCCACCTTGCTTTTACAAAACCGACTTAAAACCAAGATCCCTGGCTAAATAACACAAAACTGTGCGCCAAGATTGGTATTAATCTACCCCAAAATTAATTAAGCAGAAGGAAGATTTGATCGAACAAATACTTGCTTAGACTGTGCATAATTAATTTTTCTAGAAACTTTTCAAAGATTTCGCGTTTAACGACCAAAAAAAAATTTGATTTCTAACCGTTCGTGGGAAGTGTGGAGCACAGCGTTTGGATTAAATCAGCAATCATCTTTTTCCGGGTATGATAGGCGTTCGATATGGAAGATATCGTCAAAATACTTAGTTTATAAAACGTTTTCTAGAACCGGACGTAAAGGTCAACCATTAACGCACATCGGACCAGAAATTCCAAATGTTTCCGTTGCTAAAATTCTATCGATCAAAAATTTCGGACGATCCAAATTTCCCTTAGCAACAGTTACGAGTACGAGCCAACGACTGAAATCGCGCACTTTTTCTTGTTAAGTCGAAAGCGGAATTTAACTTCACAATCATCACCTGAAACTTGGACCTCAATTTAAACTGAATTCTCGCGAGCGTACTTACGATGGAAAAGTAGATAGAGCTGTTATTTTCTTTTTCCGAAAATGTTAATGAGCTTTCAGAGGAGATTGCTACGCGTGCATGTGCACATCAACTAGCGAAATAACACGTGTTTAACTTACTTTAACGGAGGAAAAAAAACAAACCTTGATGATTATTGTCCTAAAAAATGATATTTACGCGCAAGTTAGCACCGACCATACCCTTAAGAGAATGACTCAGCCACGAAGTACTTTCATCAGTCAGAATCCTCTGTCAACGAATCGACAAAGCGACTTCGATGACCTAAATTAATGTTCAATGTACAGTTCTGGCACGTGCAATTTCTTTTAAAGGCTACAAGGAGTTTAGGCAGTAAAAAGCTCTCTTCTCCTCTTTCAGTCAAATTAACGTATGAAAGCCAGGAATTACGCATATTGTAATCTGGTAAGGCATATCTGTTCCACACTGGTGATACAGACAGGCGAAAAATCACAAGAACGCCAAGAATGGCGGAAAGGCACTAAACGTGAACCATTGCATGCTATCCATTTAACACAAGATTTACCACTCGTGGGAAAGCGAAAACTCTTTTCAATGAGAGAAAAAAACAAGAAAATGACTCATTGACATTGGTTAACAGCGAGAAAAACGAAATAAACGAGTTTGCGAGGAACGTGGCATGTGATTACTAAATATGGTCGTCGATCGTTCACGTTTTGACGAAGAATTATTCACGTACCGTATTGTTGAGGCATTCTTGTTGCCGAGTAACTTTTCAAACTCCCGAAAAGACCAAAAATTACCCAGTATACAAGGAATGTCTTAGCTGCGGTGATAATTCTCTTTCGAAAGGAGTAAACTCGTTGAAAACGCTTGGGGAAGCAAGCGGAAGAAATCAAGGGAAACAACCGCTGGTACGGTAACTTGACATCACATTTCACGTAGGAAGGAACGTGTAATCAATTGTGAAAAAATCGCCTTACCTCGCTAAAAGACCACCAGGATTGCTGAATGAAACACTGATCTATCCTTGGAGGTGCTAACTGCTAGAATAAGCGATTTAACCGACGAAGAACACAGCGGTGAGCGCGGAATAACAGTTTTCACGTAGAATAGTGAAATTTTGACGCAATCGCCAAAACGTGTGCTAAACCCCAGCACCTGGCGGGTCAACGTGTTTGTTTTTGATCGACGTGTTTCAAATCGCTTAGGTCACGTGGTACTTAAAATATCTGATAATGTAATGACATACTTTTCCTTTTACAGAGCGCTATATCGGTTCCAAAACAAGAAGGTAAACTAGCAGATAACAACAGCCAAGAGGATAAACAAAATAAAAGCGTTGAGATTTCTCTATAGCTTCTAAAGTAATCTTTGAACAATTGTTTTCTGTGTATCATGGTTGTGATAAAAAAGGGCGCGAATGATTGCCTTTAACCGCAGTAACCTCAAATGACGTCACAACATTTCCTTGTAAACCGGAATACGAACTCTTGGTTTAAAGAAACTGAAGTTCACAATTTAATGAGCAGAAAATTGCAACACCTTGCTTGAATAAGGGAACTTACCTTATGTTTGATGCAGGTAAAATCACTTGACAACTGATGAAACGTTGTCACTGGTAAAAGTAAGGACGTAAGTGATACGGAAAAAATCACTGTATTTCAACACTTTTCCCCTTCTTCGTTAAGCCAAGCGTAAGCGGTTTCGCCCCTCGCGTGATTTATTAGCGAGCCTTGTTCGAGATGAAGGAATCAATTTATTCAAACAGAACCAGCACACATTCTCACGACCTTAGCGACACTGCGAGGTCTCGTGTTTTCTTTTGGTAATGTAAACAGAGGCACGCGTTTCATTTGCATCCGCTGTGGTGATATTTGGACCGGAAAGGACGCATAAGAAACCTATTTTTGGATGATTAGCAAATCAACATTTATCTGCGATGTGTGCCAGCAAATATCTAATAACCTTTGATCTTGACTGAGGAATGAGTTAACGATGGCATCTGCTCGAATCCGGCATAACTGAAATAATGGACAAAGTTTTATCATACCTCAAAAAATGTTTGCTCAACTGAAAATATGAAAAGAAAACTTCAAGCAAGCGACATCAGCGAACGCAACTGCACCATAACATTTCCTCTTTGCTTGCGTGTAACGATACCCTCAACTTCTTTGCTTGTGGTTTCCGCAAAAGATATATGCTTTGCTAGAAAATACGTAATGTGTTGAGGGGAATATTGTTGTCTAGCAGGGTTTCAGGAAGTGCTGCCCTCCTGAATTAAGACATATAATATATCACAAGTAACCATGGGGTTTCCAGGGAAGCAGAAATATATCCGATTCTGTTTTAATTCCACCAGTGGTCGGCTTGTCTGATCTGACATGCGAAGACCAAGAAAGGAGATCGTTTTACGGAGTTACACCGGCAGATACTCTGTATTCCGGCACAATTATAGATTAAATTTCCTCTCCCGTTAGCACGCTATCAATTTATCAGATTCCTTAGGATGCAAAGGCTATTTTAACAACGGTTTTTGCCAGACAGCCACAAGCAAGTTTGAAAATGATTTACTTTATGCAATACATTCCTTGTTAATTTTCTGTTTTACTTACGAACAGCTTTCCCACACCCGTTGATTCAAATTAAATATTTCTTTTTAATTATCAATTTGCATCGACATTTGTTGATCCTATGTCTTCAGTTTGATGAAGAACCTCATGGCTTTGTTTAAGAAAAGGCAGGAAGACCTGAAATAAAACTCATATGCGAAGAACTATTCGGCAAAACTCTCGAAGTGATTTTTTCTTACATCTGCAGTTAGTTCATATTATGACTGTAAACTCTACAGCGAGGGTGAAAACTGTACAGTTCGAATGTACGCGAGGGAGACTAGGAAAAAAAAGATCTCTTCTAAATCATTCACTGGCGCCGGTAAACCTTTCTGTATGAATCTTGATTGTCTTTATTCTGTGAATCCGCTTAAACTAACATAGTTCAAAAGCCTTATGACCTCATAAAATATTTTCCACAAACACATCTGGAAATCACCTTTCTATTGTTTTTTTTTTTTAAGTTATATGACAGAAACAAATTGCTAAATTTATCGCTGACAATCGAGCGAGAAATAAGTCTGACATCTTCTGATCGCGTGAGAATCACGTTAAAACCATCCCCCTTTTGTCAACAAAGCGGAACCAGTTTCTGTTTTCAAATTTAGGGAATAATAACTATGACAGCTGTTATTCTTGAAGTATCACGCTCACTATCATGTTTTCTGACTTGTATGCTTTTCATGACCAGCCACTGTGTGTGTGTGTTTTGAACTTGTTATTGTGTTTCATTTTGCTTTGAAACTCATTCATGATTCATGAAGTCATGTCAAAAAAATGAATGCCTGGTCTATCATTTGGTTACGTAATAATACAGCGAGAAATAAATAATATAAGAAAATTATGCAAAATTGTTCTTTTTCTTCGCTTCCAGCAGATACAGTGATTCAGTGTTTTTCAAGACACCTTGAAACGCGTCAAAGATACTCCCGTACGCGATGTATTTTCCCAGGCAGATCCCGGGTGAAAAATATATTGCAACTTTCTGAATATATTGCACGTCTGAACACTCTTCTCCCTTCCAAACAATAAGTTATATAGATATTAATTTAAATAAAGGTAGACTACTGGAACTTTATTCAATTCTTCAAGAAACACATTAACGGTATTTTGCCCCAGTCCTGGACGATCTGCGTCAATGGAATCCTCAGTAATGAGTTCCGCCCCTTTAAACTAAGCTTCGCAGCTTAAGTCGACAATGACGAAGGTGAAGGAAGGTTCTCTGACCTTCAATAGGCTCTCCGCCAAGGTACGTAGCTTGCGGTTAGAAATCTCTTCAACCCATCAAGAGCAATAAATGATTATAAATAGTGTCTGATCCGATAATTGCTCTGACACAAAGTGATGTATCCCGTTATTTTCCCAAGTCTCGGTGCGAAAGCGAGGCACAGGGAGCAAGGATAACATTGCAAAGAACCTCGCGTGACTATGATCCAAATGAGATTTATGCTTGTCACGCAACACTTGAAGAAGTGAAACACAGTTACCTTTTAAACGTCGGACAGTTACATTAAGACCAGGATATAAAACGGGTGGGATTTTAGATTTATCGTTTGAATATACACGGCTCTCGAGTAAAAGCCGCAGATAGAAGCAAAAATACAAATAGATACCGCCCCCGAACAGAAACGATGCCGCAAACGGAAATAATATTAGTTATAAACACCGCCCCTGAACAAGTGCCACATCTCATCAGAAAAAATGCCAAATTTATCCAAGGGTTTTAAGTTAACAAAATCAGCTGCGCTAAACCTGATTATCTTTTCCATTGTTGGTGTATAGATCACCGGCCTGACAATCAGGAAAGAAGGAAGACATTGGAGCATTAAACAAGTTTCTGTGATCCACTCAAATTGTTGTTGGTGATTCAAGAAACATTATTTTGAAATGAAGGTTCCCCTTGAGTAGTCGCCACCTTAAACAGACACTGCATCGGAAACGAAAAAAAAAACTGAAAATTAGGGAGGATTCAAAAACCTGTTTTTGTTTTCAAAACTTTAAGAGTCTTTAGACGTAGTCAGGCTGATGCCGTGTAAAGGATGCCTTTATCGAGAGTACGTGACGTTAAGACCGTGTCTGTTCCCAAGAAAATTTTCTCTACTTAAATCGGAAACTGAATTATATTGTGTCTCGAACACCTTTGGAGACACGGTTAAATGTTTTTCAATAACACAAAAACCGCACACAAAAAAACAGGAAATGAATCGTGTGAAACAGCAGCTTTTCGCGGATTATCCGCTGAATAAAGGTCAACGAATGATTCAAATTATATTTCATATTATTTTCGACCGGCTCCATGTTTCGTATGATCACGTATTGATGGCCGAGAATGAAATTCTCCCGTCACGTAGTATCTCGAGCTATTGTTTTGTTTTGTCTCAAAAAAAAAAAAAAAAGGCTCGCATGGTTTGATCGGAAGCATGCAAATTCAAAAGGCATGATGTTAATATACAAGAATCACGTGTGTTCAGTTTCTTTCTATTCATGTTTGTCTACGATATAACGTTTTCAAGAAATCTTACCACAAATAACTTACACTATAAGTTAGTTTGTTGGCAAGCTCCTTTGCGAGGTGCGGGTTGCGCGCGCGGAAAGAGGAGAGAAAGAGAAAGATCACCCGGCCAAATGGGCCAAACAAACATTGACGCAGACATTCAGAGTTCTAAGGCATGACTCTGGAGAGTTTGCTCGCAAGCTAATTACATGTCAGAATCGAGATTATGAAGCTGTAGTCACGTTGACTCAACTCGAGGACCGGAAAAGACGACAAAAATTGGGCCCCAATCTGCGCAAGCGGGCCATCTCTTTCATCTGTACCATAACGAAACGTCTTTTTTTTTAACGCGTGCTTTCATAAAATGCCTCAAATGTTGAAAAAAATACTCATTTAGAGTTTGAATTCTTGAATTTAGGCTAATACAATGTCTGTTTAACTATAGTTTTACCTTTCGAAGATCGACTTCCGTGATCAGTTCCCGCGTATGAGTGAGGAAAGTTTTAGTTTGAGCGACGCACTATCTTTCAGCTTTGATAAACAGATAAAGAATGGAAGGATACGAAGGAAATAAAGAGCAGCGTTCTTGATAATAAAAAGTACAAGGAGCCTGTTTACGTTACTAAAATTGTAAATTGGTAAATTGTAACCTGCCAACTTACCTGTTCGACGAAGGCAATGTTAGGGTGTAAGAAACGACGACGGCGACGCCGTGGACATCGTCGATTTAAAAAATGAACTTAGATTTTACCTACGAATCTCGCGATACTCTAAAGTAATTTGGTTTGTTGCTTCCTGTCAGAACTATTTCGAAACTGAGTATGGAACACAACGTCAAATTAGAAATAGAGATTCTACAAAATTAGCCGTCGCCGTTCACCAATGTTTGGTCATTTCATGTTGCTGTTTGGAAAAGGACGCGAATAAATTTTAAAAGATTTACACGCACAGCCATTGTTTGACTCATTAAACTTTTTGTTTAGTGAAGTTGCCGTTGCCGTTGCCGTCGTGGTTTTTAGTAAATTCCCCTATGAGTAAATACGAAAGGGGAGATAAAGGGTACCTTTCAAATTATAAGAAAACAAATATATTCTTTTTTTTACGTAACTAAAATCGATACACATCCTATTACCTTACCTGAGCAATTTGAAGAAAACATAAGAGGAGGATGCCATTTAAATGATAAGAAAAACCACGAAGGATTGTTTAATTACATGACTAAAATCTTAAATTGCATTTTGTTTTGTCACGCACTCCTCAAAACACGCGCTGAAACATCACTCAAAAACAAGGAAGTAGTAGGGGTAGGATGATATCAGTTTTACGTAGTTTCGGTTGAAAGATAATCTTTCTTTGATGTTTATTTTGTTTGTGTTCAAATAGCTCGTTCGATGCCGAACACGTTCTGAGAACTAATACGGAAATGATTGCGAAATAGTGCGGGTTGTGAAGTCTTTATTAAAATTGTTCGCGCGTGAAGACTCGATTGAAAATGCGTGAATGCAATGAAAGAGAGGGTTTATGAAACAAAAATTAATCCATGGTAATAATCAACTTGCTTGATCTATGTACTTCAACAGAACTTTAGCCTTATCCGCAGATCGTGGCGCTCATTATTAAAACCTTTCTTCAGAACCAATAGACCGCAAAGTGTATATATCACGTACGGCCTGAGGGAATTGGAAAATTGGAACGGCACTTGCCAAATAAAGTGGGCGCAATACCAGACGAGTGGGTCTCTTAATGGCGTGTGCCCATGACCGAAAAAAAAAGAACGTTATTGTGATTTTTCCTATAACACAACACACCGTTATACGTGATTCGAAAATATACATTTTAAGTTTGAAATTTCTAATTAGACTGACACAGTGCATCCTACTGTCGTACGCGAGAAAAAATCCCATAAGGATCTCTGCTCAGGTTATTGGTTAAAATCACTCCAAAGCGAGCTTTTGAAGTTTTCGTGAGCATGGAACTAGGATGGCCAACAGCCAGCATACTATCACTCACAGATAAAAGTTGCGTATATTCTTTAGGGAAGCAGTGTGAATCGAGCTAGTACGTGATGCGTAGAGATGAAGCTGTCACGGACCAACAAAACAGAGGCGTATAGATTAGGATTTTTCAAATTATGGTAGAGGGGGGCTACATTTAATTATTTTCCGCTCACTTTAGAGAACAATTATTACTTTTTTCGTCGGGGAAGGGGGGGTTGGTAGATTTTCATGGGGAACAGAGGAGGAATCAGTCGTCGCTAACAGGATATAACTAAAGGGGGGCCATAAAAATTTGACAGCAAATCAGGAGTATTAGAACACTACAGAAACTTAGGTGCAGGTGGGATCAAGCAAATGGTATTGTGACACTACCAAAATCACCCCCCTCCCCCACAACGATTAATAATGACCATTCTCTTGAGTGATTCTGCTTATACCGCTGCTCTGCATCAGTTATCAGTGGGCTCGTATTCACAGAGCATGAAAAAGAGGCTAGTAAAGGGCCATTTTAAAAAATATTTAGTCTGTCTTTCACTTAATAAGTTGATTAATTTGTTGGTCAGTCTGTAATTCAGCGCGAGGTTTTCTTATCACAGTTTTACGATGTAGTTGATTACAATAGGCGAGCGTAGGTATCTCTATATTTGAAAATTTTATTTACATTTGCACACACCATAAACGTTTTTTTTTTTGTCGCAATAAATAATAGCACATCTGAGAAGTCGAAAATGATTTTTTATATATACGCTTTTTCAACAAATGTCCATCCATTTCTCTCGTACGCTCTTGATTTGAGCAAAACGTTGAATACGCCAACAACAAGTCATTCTATGGCGGCAGCGACGCAGTAAGCTATACCCATTAGAATGAAGAAGGGTAACAGAAACACGCCCAATATAAGGTACCCTGGCGTTAGAAGTAACACCCAGAGGCAGGCTGTAAGAGAAATTAAAAAAAAAGTTAATCAATCCTTGTCTCAAATCGTAATTATTGTATGAGCAGGTGTTAATTCGTGTAAGACATCGTACATGCAACTTAATTTAATACCAAGGCTGGTCTAAAAGCAATCAAAACATTAAGCTAATTTTGGTGAGTTTTGTCTACTGTTATTTATAAGTTATTAAAGCTAGAAGTTTAGCCAGTTACTAAGAATTCGCTTTGTATGTAATACATGTAATAACCAACTGAATGAACTAAGCTCAGCTAGGTTTCAAACAGCGAGAAATGATCAGGAAACTAAGGAGATTGGGTACGAGTATACGTATGCTTCTGGCTTGGAGCGCTTTGGTTGAGGACTTGTAAACTCACGCTCGTAACAGATGAGTTTATGAGCATTCTAAGTTACTTCACTTTTTCCCTTGAATTTTTTTTCTTTTTTTGCATAGAAACTTGCGCCTACTGGTCAATTAATCTGATGAAAAATTAGAGCCAACCGCTACTTAGATGTCGACGCCCATTTTTCCGCGCTTAACCAACATACATTTTCTCAGATTTTTAATCGGTTCATTTTGTTACCTCCCTTTGATTAGCTCCTTTCTCTGGTTTAAAAATTTCCTTCAATTTGGGACTGAAAGTGTAAGGTCTTTCTTTTGTATTTATTTGATGTCAGTGGAAAAAAAAAAGCCATACCTTTACCACGAATGCTATACCACGCATGTCCCTTTTCACAAAATAAGCATCCATAGCAGTAATCGCAGCGGTATTCCGGGTTCGCTTTCTCGACGAATTCCTCTCTGGATGGCTGGGTTGTCAGAAGCGGTAAGGCGTCGCTGCAATGATTATAAAAGACAGGTTATCATCGCTCAGATAAATCATTTTTTCACAAGAGGTAGATATAGGGGATTTATGGAAGAAAAGCATCTTGATGTAGAGACACTAAGACACAGGAAACTTTAGGGTTTCGTAGTGTTGTTAAACGAATTGTTGTATAGTGTTTTTGGCAATAAAGAATGAAAAAGTGTGAGTGCATGTGGAAGTTACTCCGTTAGGAGAAGTCCAATGCGATTTGGTCAAAACAAAACCAGGAAACCCGACTCTTTGCCCGAAATACGTGGGTTCTTTAACGACCCCTGTTAACCAGTACAGGAAGATGCCGGAGACAGGGCCTATGAATTGTCGTTGTTATCCGAGAAGACTAGAATGTGTAACTATCTGCAGATGTCATAGCAAAAGCGGCAAATTCTCTTCAGTTATCTTAACGCCCTGAGGGCCGCTTAGTTACACGAGGTCTAACCCAACCGCGGTTTTCCGTAATCAGAGGGCCTCAGGGCTTCTCCATAAGAGCGTTGATTTCACTGAATAAAGGTCCTTCCACTATAAGCTTCCGGCCCTCTTGAAACTGTTCACAAAGATAAATGTTCAGGTCAAAAGGTTCGGCTACATTGAAGATGGCTTAGAACGTGGTTTTGTTAAACAAGGACTAAAGTTTGTTTGAAAAATCGGCCCTAAGTGTTGGTCCAGTCTAAGGCTTGAACCTTCCACCTTCCGCACGGCAGTCCAGCGCTCTGCAACTAACCAAGCATGGTTTTTCACTGCACTAGCTGGAAGAACCCACGCGAAGCATGACGCAATGCTTTTTCATTGCCTTTTGCATCTTGTTTACTCACTTGCCTATCGAATTGTGTCTGACCTTATCTAAACATTTGCTGGAACAGCTTGTCGACATTATCACAAAAACAAGCTGTGATCAAATGGAATTTCCGTAGCTACAAAAGATCTCTCACCTGTCCTTCGTTACTTCTTGGACGGTTTGAAAGTCACTAGGTTCAACTTGTACTGCCACGCTTGTACACGTGCTACGTGAAATAGCAAACAACAACAATAACAATAAAAACGAGCATCAGTGTATTATGGACTCATCAGAAAGAAATTGAAATTGAACAGGTAAAGCACAAAAAAAAATGAGTGAATTACTTTTAGAACCGCTAAAACGTTATACATTTAAAAGGAAAGTTTGTTCAGCATGACCTGACATAGATTCTTAGCATTGAAAAGTTGTTACCGGATTGCGAAATCTCGTATATCCACTTGAGTGCCGCACCTAAGAACGGTACAATAAAGCAAATGAGTGACAGGTTTTTTTCCCTGTAGCATGGAGTACAGCACAACAAACCCCACAAACTCTGAGACTACGAACAGAGTCTCTTTCTCAGTTTATTCCATTGCGCAACTCAAATTTAATTCGGCGGGAGAAAGATAAACATGTAAAAACAATAATAATTCCAAGCCCCTTGAGTTACAGGAGCCATTCTCGCGCTTTACCGCTTGCATCATTGAGAAACTAGGATTACTGGTTCCCTAAAAAAAACTGAATCAAAAATTTCAAACTATGGAGCAGCATTTTACGATTTTTTCAGCGTTAAATAAAGAATACATATGGTGCTCTGTTAAATAGCTCTCTCTTCTGATCGTCCTCCTTTTTTTCCTTGTTCGTTCGCTTTTTTTTCTTCTTTTTTTATTTACTTTTCTTCCTTCTTTCACGCTTTTCTCGATTATAATTCAGTATCTACTCACTCTACAACCGTCTCCTTTTTTTCTGTCTCCATTTTTCCCGCTTCATGTGAGTTGAAAAACAGCTGGATATTCTAAATATGGTGTGGCAATTGTCCAAGTAAAAGCTACAAAGAGAGTGGATCAAACAGAAAGTCAGAAATCAACATATCGTGGCTCAAGTTAGTTGAAGGAATTAGCGGAAAAGTTGTTTTCCTTGTAACTAACAATTATTCGCTGAAGGCTAAGTGAATATTGTTCAATAATTCCCGAGACGAGGTCGAGGAAATTGTTAAAAAAATCTTCCCTGAGCCTGAGGCGAATAATTGTTTTAGCATAATTGCCCAGGTGCTTTCGAATTCTGTTGTATATTCCGGCTTTAAATAAAGAAAGCGCCTTGCGCATATTTTGTTACAATTGTGGTAATTACTCGATCAGGAGGTGTGTAGT